ATCCCATAGGACCAAAAAGAAATAAATTTCACAGGAACGTTATCTAACATTCAAACCTGCCAAAGACAATAAAAGTTTTTCAACGGGACACCTCGCCTAAATGGAGTGATATGAAGAATTAAAAGTTAACTGCAATTGAAAAATATCTAGCAACCAGAAAAAAAATATCCAATGTTGTCTTCTATCAAATGTAATGTTGAGGTTTACCTATAGAAGTTCAAGTGCTAGGATCGGTGAAGTTCAAATTTATCAAACATCACTCTTGTTCCTCCGCCAGATGCACTTAGAAATTGGATTTGAACCAAAACGTTAACTCTGAATATGAGGTTACCCCAATATTTTTTCGATAACATCAGTGAACATGAGATCTCAAGCAAAAAGAGTATGTACAAAGCTCATTTTCTATATTCATTCTATGAAGTAAAGATCACTGTTCCTTCAACAGATGCACAACAAAACAATGCCAAATTAAATTTAATCAATCCACAACCTCGCTGACAGGCGTAACCAGTCTAGTTATAACTACAAGACAACTGCACTATCCTGATCTTAATATCAAACTAGCACTTTTAAGAAGTCTCGAAGAACAAACACAGAGAGGATGTACATTCCAGAAATGATTCAAGATTGATAGAACATAATACAATCTCTAATTCAATTCCCTCATTTTTCTCATGTCAATCATTCTATATACCAGTAATAAACCTCCTATTGTATTTAGTTGCAACAATTATATAACATAAATACGAAAAACAAAAAAAAAAATCTAATTAATACAGAAATTGTTGGTTCCAGACTACAATATTTATTAACCACGAATTGCAAACCCTAAATGTGAAAATTTTCTCCATTGAAAAAAAATATAACAAAACAGGACGGGTTTGGCGTGAAATTAAAAAAAAAAACAGAGAGAGAAATGAATTACCTAATAGGAAGTCGAAGGGAGACGGGAATAGAAGAAGGTTTTGCAGAAGAGGATTCGATTTGGGAGATTCTGTTTTCGAGAACGCGAAACTCATGTTCCAAGTAAGAGGGAAGCGCATAACGCTGAACCAACAAGTCCTTCAAAACGGTTTGGGAAAACACGGCATATACTGATGCGAATCCAAAAGAGAACCATAACAATCGACTTCGCGACATTTTTTCTTCTTTTTCGCATTTCTTAGCCTGGAACAAATTTGGAGCGAAAGTCGATGAGAAAGATGGACAGATAAATTATTAAATATTTTAACTTTAGAATATATAAAAAAAATGTATGAACAAGAAAATTCACAATTTTGTAATTAGACATTTTCAATTTTACCCTAATAAATAATAATTTTATTACAATTAAAAGGTTGAATCTTGATTTTCTTTTAAATTTTTTAATTCTTTTAATCAAATTTAATTTTATTCTATTAAATCCTTTTTTAGTAACAGTTTTGTTTAGAGCATATAGATATAAACTATGTCAAGTATAATTTTTTTCATATTTTATTTTCTTTAAAAATGTTATCTTTTACTTTATTTTATTTTATTTTTAATTTTTTATTCAGTTTTTATATTTTTTTATTTTTATTTTATTCATCCTAATTTTAATAATATTCAATTATTATAAGATATAAAACATTTTTAATAAAACACAATAATTAATCAAATAAAAATAAAAGACATATAATTGTCATTACAATTATTTAAAATAATATAAAATAGTAAGATATATTTATATACATGGTTCTATATTATAAGAAAATATACTACACCGAATCAAAAGTGTATTATAAACTTTACAAATCAAGAAGGAACAACAAAATATCTTATTATAAGCTCGAGCTCCGTCACCAACTAGCTCATCTTCACTAGAGACGTTTCCTAAGCTCACACCATTAAGATAATCATTGCAAAGGAGATGACAGACACACAAACGAACCAACAAAAACAGAAGATAAGCTAAAGTACCAAAAGAACATACATGCATTTTAAAACATTAATATTACATTCATAATATAAATCAAGCAATACAAAAATAATCCATCAACCTTAAACTTTAACCATCCAGATACATGTATTGATGTCAGACTCATGGAGGACCTGCCTCGTGTGTGGTGAAACAAATTGCCCAATATCAATATATCACTCCATCAAACTACCACACACTAAGGTTAATCCGTTAAACATATTTGGCCAAAAATCAGTGGACTATAGATAAGACCTCTTGGTACTCCCCCGGACATACTCCTCAATCTCTACTTGAAGATTGAGAATTATTGAAAGTTTCATAATCATCCCCCAATCTTGGAGCCCCTATTTTAATTACACAACATTACAACCAAAAGGATTTCTCCATGGAATCCTTTTCACATCATACATAAATCCACACTTTCCATTTCATTTGAATATCACCACACATATAACACATACTAAAAATTCATACATAACCTCATGCACAACCATCATAACATGCAGTATTGATCACTAAACAAACATTGCAGTATCAAACATACCTCCCATCCATAAGAATAAAAGAAAAGAATCAAAAGAACTTAACCCATTAAAAGTTACACTCAGCACAACTACCCTGGCGTTAAGCCCCAACGCTAAGCCCTAACTAGGAATAGTGGCGCTGAACACAACTATCCTGGCGCTCAGCGCCAACAAGAGCAATTGCTCTCGGGTTTAAGAGAGCTAAGCATCATACAAAACCACTCAACACTATATCAAAAGAGAACAACTTGCTCTTTAGATGAACCTTGCACCCATCTAAATGATCAAAATGACATCATAGACAATAGAATTTATTCAAAAACAAATTTACAACTTAAATTAGATACCAATTTGGTGATTTGGTTAGTAATCAAGGTTCAACCAAACAACCTACAACCCACAACTCATGAATCATAATTCTAATGCTTTAAACAAGATTTTCCAATGCACTAACTAGCAAACTAAGTTCTAAATGGCCTCAAAGTAAACACCAAACAACCGTTTTGCTAATAAGACCCTTCCTCTAAGATTTCACCTGATAAAAGCCCTATTTCTTGGCTAAAACTGATTCATACATTGTCTTATTGACAAACCAAAACCCTAAAAGCTCATATACCAAATTCTACGCAATTTACATCAAAATTTGTTGAACTAAAAAGCTACACAAGTCTTAAATGGCCTTAAAACCAACTCAAACATCAGGTTTCTCTCCAAAACCACTCCTCAAGAAAATCACCTATTAAAACCCTAAATTAGATCCAAAACTACAAAACTTTTACTTTCAACTACTTCAAGGTTAAACAATAGTTCGTAACTAATTACAATAGCTCAAGTGATCAAAATAGGAAATATACAACAAGTATTCTTCTTAATCATCTCCCTATATCAAATATCACACATATAGGTCAAGTCCAAGCAATTTCACCACAACCCAACAAAATCTCCACAAGCTAAATCTCTTTAAATCAAACTCTAACATACTAATTCATATTATCAAAGCATTAACATAATAGAAAAGAGTTATTTAACTTCCCTTACCGGTTAAAGGATCAAACGATCCTAAAAAAATCTAAAGCTGCATCCTCAACTCAGAGATCACTATCTGTACCTACAAACCACAGAAACATGATTAGGGTACACAGTTAGAACAACTTATTAATAGAGAACTTAAAGGAAAGCTTAGATGACACTTAGTGAAAAATTGCTCACATGCATTGAAAAATATGAAAACTAGAAAAAATAATAGAAACTAACTTACTATTTTGCAAGAACTCTTTGGCTAGATTAGAAGGCCTTGTCGCAGTGATCACTTTGACACCTTATAATCTTCAAACAGATGACCCAGTAGGTAGAACACCTAGAGAAAGAAAAGCTAAAGAGGAAACTACTTTTAGAAGAATAGTAAGATTTGAAATAATGAATTTCGTCTTATGAAACTTCTATTTGTACTTTAAACTTTTAACATTAAAATATTTGAATCTCATTACTCGAACCAATTTTTACCGTTACAATGTTTTTAATGATTTTTTTTATTTTTCTTCAAATTAAAACTAAACTTAATTTTTATATAAATATTATATAAATATTTTTATTAAAATTATATTTTTATCAACCAGTATTTTTAAAATTATTTTTTTAGACAAATTCTAATAATTATATTAAATAATATAATGAGAGTTGATTTAAAAATAATTTTAAATATTTGTTAATCAATAAGAAAATAACAACACATAACATAACATTCTTATATGTTGACATCCATAAAAAACGCCAGCAAAATCTAACCATCAATGATAAAAAAAATAACTCCAGTGTCAACTTAAATAATTTTATTCAATATCAATTCGAAACAATTTTCGCCAATATTAATTTAAAATATATATATTGATGATACTTGTAATAAATTTTGAAAAAAAAACATAAATTAAAATTGACTCAAAATTTTACCAATATTAATATTCTTTTGATCATTAACAACTATTTAATCTTATACACGGGGAAGATTTTTTGGAATTTTATTTTATTGATTTCAACTACTTTTGAGATAAAAAAATATTTACAATTTCAAAAATATGTTTAGAATAATAGTTTGATTTTGTAAATTTTTATGGAAAAAATAAATTGTTGTGTGATGAATTAAAAATTTCTCTCTAACTATTATTGTTGTATGAGCTAACTATATCATACATAATTTTTGTTTCTCATGTAAAGGCTTTTTCCGTTTTAAAATGAAAGTAGGTATCGTAAAACCATTTTCTTGGTAAATTTACTCAAAATATTAATTTGATTATTGAAATAATTTATTTTGAAAGATTTTATACGAAGAGGTAAAGTTAATCTTGAATAGTAATTTAAATAATTTATCGTAGATTAAAATATAATTTAGAATTGAGCATTCCATAAAATATGAAATTATTTCTATCAAATTAAAATTGTACTTCATAACATTATTTTGATATTAGATGAATATATTTTAGAATATTCCCTGTCTGATTTGAGTTCCGTATGAAACTCGAGAAGGTTGGAAGTAATTTAAAATGCACATGCCAAACTAACTCACCTTTCTTCTACTACTATATATAGCCTAATGCCCTTGATCTCCTCCCATCTATTTGGACGCAACCATCGCCAACAACGGAAAACGAACGATGCCTCCTTTGACCTCGTGGCTGCTGCTCGCTATTCTGGCGCTAACAGCGCTGGCGATGCCTCCAGCACGCGCCGCGCCGGTTGCGTCGTTCGACGATCAGCGAGAGTTTGACTATTTCGTGTTGGCCTTGCAATGGCCCGGCACTTACTGCCAGCGCACGCGCAGTTGCTGTCCAACCAACGGTTGCTGCAGAGGGTAATCTAGTAATTTACACCACTTTTTCCTTTCCATTTCTCAATTTGTTACGTTCCATTGGTTCAATTCTTAGGTTTGATCATTTTGCAATTTTACTTTGACTTGAAAACGTGGAGTGATTAATCCGTTTGTATTGTGCCTTTTTTTGTGAATTTTGGACTGTTTTTTTTTGTTGATGATAAAATTACTCTATGGAATGGATTTTTAAGAGGACAAAACTTAGTTATAGTTCTACAGCTACTTTCGTGTTATTCTCTAACCAGAATTGGAATTTTACGTCGGTAATTTGTGTGGATCTTTAATGCAAATCTAGGCGAGTTAGCAAAATTAAACTCTAATTCTGATGGCAGAATAATGGCAAAGGTAGCTAAGGAACTTTATGTAAGCTTTATCTTTTGTTGTTTTGTTATGCAACTTATGTGAAGCACTTGTTGAGAGGCTGACATGTTTACGTTTCTGATTGCAGCTCCAATTCTCCAAAAATATTCACCATACGTGAGTATTAGGTTTCAAATGCGGCATTGTCGTGGTGGTGGAATACTTTTTGCTTGTTGTTGTGAATCTAGACTTCTTGGAATACTTATTACTTGTTTTTCTTCAATTTGGCTACTTGCTTCGACTGTGTTCTGAGTTAATTTCTCCTTCTGAGGTTGCCGTTCTAAGTTTAGTCTGCGTGGAATACCCGTTACTTGTTTTTCTTGAATTTTACTACTTGCATTGACTATATTCCGATTTAATTTCTTCTTTTGATGTTGTTGTTGTAAGTTTAGACCATGTGGAATTCTTTTGTTTTTCTATGAAAATAAGTATGCAAAAACATCACTGTGTTTAAGACCATGTGGAATCCTTATTACTAGTTTTACTTTAACTTTCCTACTTGCATTGACTATGTTCTGAGTTAATATATTTTTTGAGGTTGTTGTAAATTTAGATCATGTGGAATTCTTTTGTTTTGCTATGAAAATAAGCATGCAAAAACATCATTATGTTGAAGACCAAGTGGAATCCTTATTACTAGTTTTACTTGAACTTTCCTACTTGCATTGACTATGTTCTGAGTTAATATCTTTTTCTCAGGTGTGAATCCCTGGTCCGGTCTAGAAAAGTAATGTAAAATTCTACTAATATTTTAAATCATTGAGAAATTAGCTTAAAGTATGACTTTTTGGTTTTTGTTTCGTTCTGAGTTCTTTTGTCTGTCATTTCTTCCTCATCAATCATTTTCTTCTAGATTACTTTGTTTGTTAAAAATAAATCTGTTTTGGGTGGTAAAAAAGGTATTGATCGTTTTGCTTATGTCCGTTGAGTAACGAGGTTCCAGCAACAAATAGCTTAACAGGTTCTGTCTAAGTGATGATAGATGGACTCTGGCTACTACAATGATGGAAACATGGCAATCCTGTTGTTCTAGAGCCAGTTACAATCCGAAAGAGGTATATTGCCCAGCCTTATTTTGCAAGTCATTTGATAACAAATAACATACACTGGTTTCATGCTTTGACTGATAAGAGATTTCCTGAAGAATGAAAGTGAATTGGCTCTCAGAGTTGTACTGGAAAGTTTATGGCCGTTTCTTGTAGTTTTACTATGTAATTGGTTCAAAGCCAATTAACTATTGATTGAACAAAGCCAAGACAGTCTCTTTTTTGCTTTTGAAACTGCAATATTTTAATGCTTTCAAGTGTTAATTGTTTGTATTTTGGTTGGTTGCATTAGTGTTACTTTTATATATTATTACAATTTGGTGTCTTCATTTCCACCATTGTTTCATCTTGTGTGTAGATATCGACTTTGACTAATGCTTTAGAGCAATATTGGCCATCATTGAGCTGTGGGAAGCCATCATTATGCCATGGTGGGAAAGGAACATTTTGGGCTCATGAGGTGGTTGTTGGAATTAGTTAGCTTCCTATTCAACCTTAAATTATCATGGACTAATTTTTCTTTTTTCACAATGCGCTTCTTGGGTTATCAAAACTGGCTGGCATCGGCAGTGGGGGTAATAATCTTTCATAGCTTTTTGTGTTCTACCTGGTTAATGAGTTATTCATTGTTTTTCTGAGTATTAGTTGCGTTGTTTCCTAAAAACTGCAACTGTGGATCGAGTGAGGTGTACCCGGTGTTAAATTGGTGCAGAACAGAATGTTCAAAGTTTTTAATACATCTTTGTTTTTACTCTTTTTGCTGTTTTCTGAGGCAAAATGATATGGTTTTCTTGTACTTTTTCCAATTTTCTAATAGTGTAATTTCATTTGCAGAGACACATGGCACGTGCTCTTATCCTGTATTTCGAAATGAATATGATTATTTTCTGGGAGGAGGTTCGAATGTCTATTCAATACAATGTACTGTTAAAGTTGGCAAAATCTTTCTTTTAGTACCAGAATTGTTCTCTGTTTTTCTTTAGGACAAGACTTCATATGAATATGTCCAAATACATTGATGACAAATTAAATATAATTTGTACGTTTTCTCCATTCCATTGATCATTATCATTTTTCCTCATAGGATATAGCATGAAAATTTCTTTACTGAATACTATTAGTTAGACAACTAAAGGTTCTTACTCAATGCAACTGTCAATTTTTACTTCTGTCTTCCCGCTTCCAATCATCCATAAAAACTATTAAAATTGTATACTGATTAATAAGTTAGGCATCCCCTGATTCCTCCTGCAATAGGTATAACGTTTCAGTGCCGATTAATGGATATTTGACCAATAATACCTTCCTCCGTTGCTAGGATTGTCTGTTGATTAATGAATTAATTAATTTGGTTCTTTTTGGCCATGGTGCATTTGAGAATATGTGAGAGATGAGTTAGGCCATGGCTATAAAGGAGAAGCTATCCACGAGAGAGAATAGTTTCAGAGTAGGAAGTATTGGGAGGAGACTTTAGCGTTTCTCAAGTACTCTGGGAGTGCTTTATTCTTTTCAATTCTGCGTCTAAGTTCTCCCAAATTGGCTCTACTGAATATAGTCATTTTTTTCTCTGTTCTGCCACCTATACATTTTTCATTTTTCTTTGTCCTATCCTGCTGAACCACTCCAATTGTATTTTGACTGGGTGGTACAAATTACTGCCTAGAGCTGAATTATACCAAAAAAAAATTGTGGTGGTAACTTGGGGGCCATCTTATCGATTGGCATTGAAGACTTAAAATCTTGGTCACAGGTTCTCAATTGTTGAAAAACTGCTTAATTGGTTTGGTGCTTACTCTATTTTCAGAATGATTACTAGTTGTGTTTGCAAAACTTTTTCATTGTTAGAACTAATGCTTGCCTGCATTGGGGGACACACTCTGAATATGTTTTTTTCAACACTTCTTCCAGAGTGTTCTAAATGAAGCTGGATTGTTGGCCTCTAAACAGAAAGTATCCTCCTGGACGGACTTACTCTGCCATTGAGAATGCTTTTCATGGCCTCTCCTTAATAATTTGCCTCAAAGATTCTATTGAGGAACTTCGTCTATGCTTTTACAAGGATTTCCAGGTATGAAATCTGCTCTACTCTGTAATATATGTTTAGCACACAAGAAACAAAGATATGTGCAAATATTTGTCTTATTTATGGTGGGAGATTGGCATATTTAGATTTCATTTGATGAATTGAGAGATAAATTGTTAGGAGTTGGATAGTTTATGAGAGAAGAAAGAAAAGAGAGTAGGCAGTTAGGAAAAGCCGGGAAGTATGGGTATAAAAGAAATAACGCATTATATTGTGGGGGGCAGAAAAAATGATATAATTTGTATAGACCGGTTTCAGGACCTGGTGAGAGGGGTTAGGCCCTCGTCTTACATGTGTTCTCTTTATTCGTTACAGTGAATAATATACCCATTATTTGATTCTTTCTGTTGTGTGAGAGTGTGTATCAGTGAGTGAGGTAGACAGTTAGGAAATTATTCTCGGATTCCTAACAGAGTGGTCCGACCTGCCGGATCCTTGCGGAGAGAGATCGGAGTAATGGAGGGAAGAAATGAAGGACGTCTAAACGTGGTGGACAACCAGCTCAAAGCGATAGAGATTGCAGTAGACGGACTGAAGGCTGAAAACGTAGCGATAAGACAAGACTTGGCGGCCATTTGCCAAGATCTTCAGGAAATCATGCGGATGTTGGGGAATCGCAATCGCGAACATGAAGATGGATCGGATGGGAGTCAAGTATCGGTGAACGGTATGCGAAGGACGAGGCGAGGCGAGAGGGTGAGAACGGAGGGCGCGAGGCGGATCGAACGGAGGGACAGTTCCATTGGAGGAAGAAGGTGGAGCTTCCCGTATTTGATGGAGTGGATCCTCTGAACTGGATCAACCGGGCGAAGCGTTTCTTCGAGTTACAAGGAGTGACGGAGGAAGAGAGGGTCAACATCGCATATGTCAGCATGGAAGGGAGTGCTGGCTATTGGTATCGGTTCTGGCAGGAAAAAGCGACAATCCGCACATGGGAAGGGCTAAAATGTGTGATGATTGGAAGATTTGGGGAAAGGAACCAGGGCTCGATTTTTGAAAGGCTCATGACAAACTGTCAGACTGAGACGGTCGAGGAGTACATTAGAGACTTCGAGATTTTGATAGGGCAAACAAGCGGGGTGACGGACGAGCAACTCCTAGGCTATTTCCTCGGGGGTTTACAGGAAGACGTGAGGAATCGAGTGCGACCGCATGATCCACAAAAACTCATGACGGCGATGCGAATCGCGAGAGATGTGGAGGTTCTACCGGGAGGAGCTAAGACTTGGGGAGGAGGCGCGAATTGACCACAGGTATTGGGGGGACGAACGTTGGGGACGATAACCCGAGTGGAACCGATGCGCAATCCGGAGGGACGGATGGCCGACACGGAGAATGTAGGCTCTGGGGAAGAGATGGAAACTCAGGACAGACTACGGGGAGGGGTGTGAGTGCTACGGGGAACAACACCATGGGCAGAGGGGTGCGAAACCTTCCATATCACGAATATCTCAAGAGATGGGAAGAAGGGGACGTTGTTAGGGGTGGGGGCCAATGT